ACTCAATTTTTTCTTGTTAGTTAGACAACAAAATTTCCAATAATATACAAAAAATTTCAGATCAATATCGTTTACGGATCCAAAAATATACGTTTTTTAATTTAAAAATTCAAAAAATTTTAGATTTTTGGCGTTTTTTTGCCAAAAATGTGTCTTAACTCTTTTATTAATAAACTAAAAGTTTTATTAAGAGCATATAACAATTTTATAGTTTTCTAAAAGGTATCTTTACGCAGAACGCTTTGGCGTAAAAAACTTGTCCTATTTTTTGAAAATGTTGCCACTGCGTCCTTCCGAATATGACCTATTTTTTATCAAAACTTCAACTTTGGGCGACATGTTCTAAAATCCCAAAGCTGGGATCAGAAAACTGAAAGCAGTTTTGGAAACCTCAATATGTTTTCTATTTACTCCAAAAGTATTTTCCCAGCCCTGAAAGAAATGTGGACCCTATGGGCAAAAAAGTAAAAAATCCCATTTTTGGGATTTTCATTCCTATATTTGGGAATTGCGGGATGCCCTTTGACCTTTTCAATTCTTTTTTTGCATATTCTTATTTGAAATGACAAATTTAACAAGCGTTGAAAATTTCATTGAGTTTTGTTCATAAATAAAGATTTTGTCATATATTACATATTTGTTTAATTTCTAAAACTATGATTTATATCAAAATTTGAATAGGATCGCAGATAGCTACAACAATTTAGTCCATATTTATCCCTTAATATCATTTTTTAGTTAGATATGGAAATTCTCGACCCTTTACAAAAAATTTCAAGCCAATATCTCAATTACATTCAAAAATATGTTCATTTAAACCTGTGTCCTTTAATTTCATCTTTTTCATATTTTAGTATTAAGTATGACAGCACATATTTAAATCTTATATTTACCTATTTTCTATTTGTTTGCTTATCCTTATAATTGAAAGGTCCTATTATGCTTAAATTTTCAAAAATTTATAACTATTTTTTACCTAAATTTTTTCGACAGATCATTTCGTTCTGTTTCGTTTATGATCATGTAGGTAAAAATATACAGGTAATGATAATTTCGATTCATTCACTAATAAGAAATATCAATGACTGAATTACAGGTTATAGTAATATAGTCCTAAATGTTAATAGGTAGACAATTCGTAATTTTTTACTTTGGAATACCTGTATCGGAAATGACAAGAATTGGTATATAAGTAAACTTCTCAGATTTTAAGTACCATATTTAATAAATCTACAATGAAGATTACATTAAAGTACGAAGAGTTGTGTTCCGTTTTATGGAGTATATCTTCAAAAGGGCCAGAAAGAATTGAAGACATTTCAAATTATATAAAAACTACATATAGTAGAAAAGTAGACAAAACAGGCATATCAAAAATTGAAAACTTTTTAAAACTTTTTGATGTAAAAAGTAAGTCTGTGGATGGAAATCAAAAGAAATTTCGATTAAAATTTTGTAGTTGGATGGAAACTACTACGGAAATCTCAACTTACAACACATCAACAGGAGCGCCTTGCAAGTCATACGAAGACTTATGTTCAAGGTAAAAAAAAAGAGGGTCACACAAAAACTTTTTTCAATCTCAAATGAGGAAATTGCTGATACATTTAACGAAATGCTGAAAAAGGAAAACCAACCTATGGATGTCGTACATATTGCAACTATTCTTCCTAATGCATCACCAAAACGACTTAAGCGAATTGTGGAAAGTATACCAACTCCAACATCATAATCAAATTTTACTGAAGAGGAAGCAATAGCGCTTATGTTGGAACTGGGTCCCAGTCGAAATAAGTACCAAATATTAAGGAAAGCTCTGCATGAAAAAGGACACAATATATTACCATCATACAAGGCGATCCAGGAAAAAAAAACAAACTATCCTACTAAATCAACAAAAAATAATGAAGAATTGAAAGAACTGAGACCTGCGGAAAAACGCAGAATCCAAGAAGAATTTAAAGTTCAGATGGGATTAAACATCGACAAACCACTTTCAAGTTGCGGTAGTACAAATGACGGTAATACGGCGAGAAGGTTTATTCGTGATTTTGAAATTACTTCAAAAATAACTGGAATCGACAAGGAGTTGCTTCGAAGAGTTAAAACTATTTTAATGGCACTGAATAGTAAACATAAAATTAATGAAAATCGATTTGGGGAATACACATCTGAAATTTCTAAATTACTTGTATCTCTGTATCCATGGAGGGAACTAACACCAACAGTACACAAAGTATTGTGTCATGGTCAAATAATAATTGAATCGAATATTCTTCCACTTGGAGAGTTAACAGAAGAAGCCCAGGAAGCGAGGAATCGAGATTCTAAGCATGTTCAACTATTCAGCTCAAGAAAATGCTCCAGGCAATCACAGAATGAAGATATTTTTAATAGTTTACTTCTATCTTCTGATCCTGTTCTTTCAACTATGCGAAAAAGATGGATTTGTTATGAAACTCTATCATCTCAAAACAAGGAAGATTTAAAGGACTTATATTACCTTCTGGATATGTATACCGATATGACAGATTATTTTATAGAAAATAAGTAGTGTTAGGAATTAACTATATAAGTAGGTTGTAAGAATTAATTGTATTATGTTTAAGATAAACAGTTCAAATAAAAAAAGCTATTATACTAACTGATGATATTGTATTAAATTGTGTTTTATATTTCGTGTGGGGTGATTTAGGTGTTGTTGTGCGTGGCTCATAATAAAATTATAATTTTTTTTATTTTATATACAATATTATAATAAAATAATTAACTAAATAATTTTTAAAAATTGTCCAAATATTTTATTCAACACCAAATGTATGTTCTGTCATACATAATACTAAAATATGAAAAAGATGAAATTAAAGGACACAGGTTTAAATGAACATATTTTTGAATGTAATTGAGATATTGGCTTGAAATTTTTTGTAAAGGGTCGAGAATTTCCATATCTAACTAAAAAATGATATTAAGGGATAAATATGGACTAAATTGTTGTAGCTATCTGCGATCCTATTAAAATTTTGATATAAATCATAGTTTTAGAAATTAAACAAATATGTAATATATGACAAAAAAGGTCAAAGGGCATCCCGCAATTCCCAAATATAGGAATGAAAATCCCAAAAATGGGATTTTTTACTTTTTTGCCCATAGGGTCCACATTTCTTTCAGGGCTGGGAAAATACTTTTGGAGTAAATAGAAAACATATTGAGGTTTCCAAAACTGCTTTCAGTTTTCTGATCCCAGCTTTGGGATTTTAGAACATGTCGCCCAAAGTTGAAGTTTTGATAAAAAATAGGTCATATTTGGAAGGACGCAGTGGCAACATTTTCAAAAAATAGGACAAGTTTTTTACGCCAAAGCGTTCTGCGTAAAGATACCTTTTAGAAAACTATAAAATTGTTATATGCTCTTAATAAAAATTTTAGTTTATTAATAAAAGAGTTAAGACACATTTTTGGCAAAAAACGCCAAAAATCTAAAATTTTTTGAATTTTTAAATTAAAAAACGTATATTTTTGGATCTGTAAACGATATTGATCTGAATTTTTTTGTATATTATTGGAAATTTTGTTGTCTAACTAACAAGAAAAAATTGAGTCCATTTGGTCCAAAATTACGCCCGGTATTCAAAAAAAGGCGGACCAAGGTATGGTAAATTTTGTATCACTAAATTTTTAAATGCCTATAACTCGGATATTATAAGAGATAAGTAGTATGTCCAAGCATGTTTTTTCAAGATCTCGTCGAGCGCTTTCACAAAATATAAAAATCTTTGTATTTGGGTGAAAAACAAAAGAATGGCACGAGTTAAAAAATTTTACATGTCGTAGGTACCCTACTTTGAGCCGCCACAGCGCCGTCCCTGGGGCATCTGCAGGGTTCATCTTCAAAACTTAAACTCGAATACTCCTTGGCTACGCTCACGCCAAATTTTATCCCGATCGTATCAGCCGTTTAGAAATGCCAGATTTATTTCCAAAAAATTTCCATTCTGCCCCACTGTGGAGTATTGCATATGCCTCGCTCGAAGCGTTCTTTAAAGAGCTTTCATATTATACCTAATTAGCATAATATGAATTTCGTGTCAAGTGACCCAACTTTAAAAATCGATGTCTTCCGATTTGGATGAATTTTGTACCAAGGTTAGTACTATGGGATAGTAGGCCGGACACAAATATCCATCAAAAGAAAGTTTAGGCCATTGTCTTTGAAAGATTTGTGATTACTTAGTGGAGTGAAGGAATAGCTATCTGAACTCCTTTGGACAATTTTTGCTAGGACCAATGACCAAAATGTCCAACTTTGACCCCCTCTGACTCCGGCAGTTCTTGGCCTTTAGAGCTAAAAATTTGTATCCGGCTTACTATCCTCCGCTAAGTTCTGCAGTTCTTTACTGATAGAGCTGTGTCTGACCTACTATCCAATAGTACTAACCTTAGTGCAAATTTCGTAAAAATCGATTTTTTAAGTTGGGTCACTTGACATGAAATTCCCAATATGTATTTATATTTGGATAAAATTTGTATATAAAATTACAAAATTCTCTAAAAAGAGACGTCTGTATCCGTTGATCCAGCTCATCTATAATTTACGCAAAAAAACATTTTTTTGGAAAACGTATTTTTAGATTCAATTAGACTTTTATTTTCGTTGGGAACATCTGCAGTTTTATTTCGGACCACCCTAATGTATGTAGTTAAATGCCATCAACATCCATAACCACATTATATTTACATTTACAATATAAGTATATATGTATATGAATAAACAGAGATACATATGTATGTGTACATTAGGGTGACAATGAAATTAACTTATGACGATTTTTTTTTTCCAATTTAAACTATATTCGAACAGATTGTTGGTACCTTGAAGTCTAAAACTCACATGTGGCACAATATATTGAAAAAGTCAAACTTGATTTTTCATTGCCACCCTAGTGTACATATACATAAATATACATATATACATTTGAACGCGCACACACACTTACATGATATTAATTAAAATTCCAATACCAGAAATGGTCATCATAGTATTTGCATCCAAATCATAGTCGTTCGAATAAATGCGCTGTATCGCCACTAAAACCAAAGTTGCGGTCAGTATCCAAATGCCCAAAATCGATACAATTGCGCCCATGACCTCTGTAAATGAAACAATTTCAATTAAACCGATTTACCATTTATTTATTCAAATCATTTTGATTATATAACATAACATTAAAACTGTCCTGAAAAAAAAAGTATTTACCACTCCAAATATGATTAGATCATCTGTGAATGTAAACATCTGAATAATTTTAAAACTCTTGCCTTTTGAGCAGGTTTAACTCATGTATTTATACTAATAAAATTTTTAATAAATTACACTTAATATATACTTATACGAATAAAGGTATGATGACCCAGCTGTTCGGCCGGACAGTCCCGAACTAGCTATTAAAGGTACCACATGTCACCGTGACTACTTCGTCACTCCATAGATTACGAAGAGACAGTCGGTAAGCTTGAACCTTTTTTCTTAAGTTTATTTATTGAGTGCCCAATCTCTAGACTACTTGGGAACAGTAAAGTGACGACTGTCTCCGTTCTCGCTTACAAAGGTGACACCAACATTTTCACTCGTTTACAAAGAGTACATTCATTATGAAAGGTGATATAGAACCGATCACGTGGTTATACGTTATTGAAAATGACTGTCAAAATTCTGCTGTTTGAAACTATGTATTGTTTTTTAATTTATTTATTAACTTATCGCTATATTGCTAAGGCCCATTATTATAACTTGCCAATAACTAAAGTTAGGAAGTTATCGTACAGATAATGTGTTTTTCGTTATTACAAGTCAACGTTAGATAAAAGTGTCCGATAGGCTAACGGGAAGATCACGTTACTTTTAACTTTTAACGGAAGCTTTAATCATTTTTTTTAAAATATTAATAAAAAATAAATTTAATGTCATTTTTCATATGAAAAATATTATTAACGGCCAAAAGTATGCTACGGTTTTTGTATATTAAAAATTATGTTGTAATAATGAAAATATTTAAAGTTCACTTTATTCCTCACTTTAATTAAAGTTACCTTTTATTATTACGAACATTAAAGGCAAGTTGTAATAATGGCCCTAATTCCAACAAAAATCTTATACTAATTAAGTTTGTTTTTATGTAATTGAGGTTTGTTCGATTTATGTGTCAATAAATGCAATATTTGTGGTTATACCAATGCATTTTGTGAAATAATGTTTGGTAAAAGAGGTCAGTTGGGTGTTTCTTTTTAACTCATCCCTCAAGAAATTTGCTATTTGTCATTGAATGCGTAATTGCATAATTTTAAATATGACGTTAATAACTTTTACATTTATGTTTATATCAAATAAATTCTATATGATTCCTTTTAAATTATTTCTCTATTTATAACTCAATTAACATTTCGATATCGATATACAAAATCTACGCATTTAAATTTAAAATAATTTTATCTAAGAACTAGCGGTAAAATTATTTCATTTTCACAAATAAAGAACATTTGATAAGAAAATATTAATTCCACTTTCTAAAATGTGCGATAACAACGATTTATAAGGCATTATATAAAGATTTAAAAATCTTAACTTTTTCTTTCTTTTTCATTTTACTCATTAATCTCATTTCTGTTCTAAAGGGCCAATATAATACTTGGTTTTATTTTAAGTTTTGCTAATGAATTAAAATTTGTTTATTAGATTACAGAGTGAGACAAAATAAGCGAAAATTGAAATACCTGGAGAGTGATATTATTTTTCTGAAAGGTGGATCCGAGTAGAACAAGAGTATGTTTTTGAAATTTGCCAAACAAATCCAAAATCTTGAGTTACGGATAAAAAACTTTTTTTTTTTTCGTACCTTTAAGCACTTATAAGTCAGTAACTTAGATGCATCTCAACCGATTTTAAGGTTCTCCACGGATTTAGAAAGCAGAAGCCTTTATAATGACATATATGATGTTTAAGTAACCTGGTGTGATATGTGTGAATTTCATCAGCAAAAGTATTTTTGATTTTAGTTTTGTACCGTTGTTCAAGATTGGAGATGTTTTTTGGAAGTATTTTATACAGGAACCGCACTACTTATTTATTGATAAGAAACCCATGTCATGAGTAAAACGCAACTTTGGTTTTAAAAATCACGACGTTATTGATAATTTTCTTAATACAAAATTGTTCAAAAACTGATATTCTGAAGGATGCTTCATATGGGGAATAGAGTTAAATATGGGCCGATCGTCAAACAATTTGGTGGAAGGATTTAGATTTACATGAAAGTTATTTATGCTGAATTTCATCTTGATATTAATTTAATTAAGAGAATTATGGAATTAAAGTCATTTTCTGAATGCGGATTTGTATGGGAACTATGGAGTATAAATGAGTTTGCTGTAATCTGATTCCTTAGACAATACGGACTTATTTGACTTAGTCTCCACACAAACCCCCCTTCAGGAATTACTTGAATTCCACAATTCTCCTTTTAATATTAATACACAGAGAAAACAGATTCGTTGTTACGACCAAATTTGTTGCCAATCGAATTTGGTCGGTTATAAGAACTGTTATGAAATTCGATTGGCATAACCGATATTATCGGTTGACACAACTTCAATTATGAGTGAAGACAATTTGTTTTTTGGTTCAAATAAAATTCAAATTAATTTTTTTGTTTAAAATTTATTTTATTGAACGCCAAAAAGTATACTAGAAAAAGGGTACATGAAAAATACAAACGTAATTTTAGGAAATATATTTCCTAAATTCAGAATAAAAATAAAAATACATACATATGTATCTCCTAATGTAGACATATGTAAGTATATGCCGTATGATGTACTGGAGGACAAATCATCGAAGATTTGAAATTGGTAATCATTTTGATGCGTACAGGTTCAAAGAAACTTGATATATAAAAACTGAAGTAGTATAAATGTATCTTCATATGTAAGTTATGCATTTGCAAATCCTCGTAATGGCATTGAATTGCGGTCCTTTTTCTAAAGAAACAATTGTCAAAAGTTAAGTTAAGATGTTGTTTCGGAATGGAACATAGCATTTTTCTTACCTTCGCGGCTTTTAAAATGTTTATTTGCAGAAGCGTGTGAACGTTAGACCTTTTCAAAATATTTGGCAATTAGGGATGCAAAAATAAGTGCGGGCGGCCTCTTATTTTCCGCATTATATTATAATTCGTGCAATATCTTGTTTTATTTTGATTGTTTTAATATTTTGCTTTGAAACTATTTAAATATTATTAAAAATGTCAAATAAAATCAACAAAAATTTCGGTTGTGAGTTCCGAATATAATTTTATAATATCTCTACCAAAATGTTCCATTGTATTTACCAAATTTAGGATTGTAAACATCAAATCATAGTTTTAAAATTCGGTTGTCTCTGCCAATATTTTCAAATAAAATTTTTCAACAACACATTGATTATGTTAACTAAATAAACTTTGGTTCGAATAGTAATTCAATCACATTTATAATTTAATTGTTATAAATACAGAAAAACTATTGTATTCAGCAAATTTTTTTAATTGCAACAAAATAACACTTAGGATTACAAATAAATAATTGCTGTAACTGATTTCCAACCAAACTGTTTTCTGTGTGTATCACGATGAAATTCAGCATAAATAACTTTTATATAAACATAATTCCTTCCACCAAATTTTTCGAGGATCGGTCCATATTTAACACTATCCCCCATATAAATCAATTATTGAACAATTTTGTATTAAGAAAAATAAATAACTTTGTCAATTGCTAACGGTTTTTTAAAAACACAGTTGTGTTTTACTAATGAATAGACAAGTGTTTCTAATCAAAATACTTCCAAAAAACACCTCCAAACTTTGACAACGGTGCAAAACTAAAATCAAAAATATGTTTGCTGATGAAATTCACACATATCTCTCCAGATTACTTAAACATCATATATGTCGTTATAAAGGCCTCAGCTGCTGCTTTCTAAATCCGTGGAGAAACTTAAATTCGGTTGAGATGCCGAATTTAAGTTTCTCCACGGATTTATGACTTATAAGTGCTTAAAGGTACGAAAATCCGGTTTTTTACCCGTAATTCAAGATTTTGTAGGTGTTTGGCAAATTTTTAAAACATATTCTTGTGCTACTCGGATCCACCTTTCAGAAAAATAGTATCACTTCCCAGGTACTTATTTTTGTCGGATAGTGTTAAATGTTATAAAAAACCGAACAAGAACTGCAAACTCACCACAAGGAAAAAAATACTCTGGAGCCCTAGTATTTTAACTCATTACTTTTCAATCTAAGTTTTTGCTGAGATGTTATTCAAAATGAACTGAATATTAACGCGAATAACGAATAATAACACTAGTTTATATATTTTTAAAAGTGCTATGTCCAATAGTTAATTAACAAATTTTAATTTTTTCCTATACGTCAACATTTTAAGATTAAGAGAAATAATTTTGCATTTTCCTTTAGTGATGTTGACCAAATATTTGAAAATGAGTGCTGATTTTTGGGCGAATGTGCCTTTTTTGAGAACCTAACAATCAGCTTAAAAAAATTAAAAATATAAATTTTAGGACAGATACAGAAAGGTTTAAAAAATTGAGAAAAAAATCGAAAATATTCTTCACAGTTTATTATAGAATTATTAACTTACGGATTTGAATATAATCCTCATAATTCATTTTTTACATTCTTATGAGTATGAGGGATAAACCAAACATCTTTTCATCAAAATTTAAGATTAATTCAGCTGAATTTTCAATGTTTTTGTGACAATAAAATCATTGTTAGATTGTTGTGAGTAAGACAAATATAATTTCTTAAAAAAACAACTAAAACTCTACATATTCAGTTTTTTTTGCTCCTAATTTAACCCTTTTCTGCATATTCTTTCTTAATGAATAATTCAAAAATTTTACAACCTAGACTTTTTCCAATATTTTTGTGAACTTAGACGTCATAAATAAAGAAATCCATATAAGTTTTATATCATGAGCAAAATCGTTGTAAACTAGTGTAAATAAATGTTTTTAATTTTAATTATTTTACATGTCATATTTCAAATATGTGTATAAGCTTATTGCATAAAATAAGTGTCTTTTAAAGATGTTTACCTACCAAATCGTTTATATCCAAATGACATTTTTGCATCCGGTGGTTTGCTGCCCAACCAAATGGCTACTAGACCAATAACGAAACTAATACAATCTGATGCTAAATGTGCGGCATCCGTCATGATGGCTAAGCTTCCGGCTAAATAACCACCCAGGAATTCAACAACCTGTATGTAAAATAGAATGCAAACGAAAGGAAACATAAGTTAAGAGAGAAATAATGTTTCATTGTTTACACATACAGTTAATCACAAAAATAAGTATACAGAAATACTAACGATTGGTTTTATTTAAAAAAACATATTATTTTCTCAAAAAACAAGAAAGTAACACATTTATTTATTAAAAACAATTATGATAATTATTATTCACTACTTTTTTTCTTCATATTTTGGTTCTTTGAGTTCTCATTTAAGCTAAAGTTAATAAGGTGCAAAATTTACGTCACAAAAGTAAGTATACAGATCATTTCAGTATATATTTGGTTTAATGATATTAACAAAATTTATGAAAATTTTACTTGTATTAATATAATTACTTTTTAATAAAATATTTTTTAAACAATAACTTGGAAAAAATCTACTTTTAGTTCCGAAATCTTGAAATTTGGGCCGATTGGCTCCGGAATTAATTAGTAGAACAGTTTTTTCTTATTTCTACGATTTTTTTTCCACTTTAGACCCCGGATTGTGGATCTGGTGGTCGTTGAACCCTCCAAATGATGCATTGGAAATAGAATTTTTAACTTTTGAAAAGAGTTGTTATTTCGAAATTAATGTTATATGCATGGATTTGGCCATTTTGAACACAGTACGTTCTTAAAAACCCGAAATTTAACTCCGATTTCTTAAGACTTACAACATAAACTTTAAAATTTGGATAATTCTATATATTTTCTTTAATTTAAACAGGTTTTCCAAATACTCCGATTTCCAAAGCATACAATAATGCTACCAATCATATCTTGATATACTCGATACAATAACCATGTTTTATGGATCGGACATTTTATTTGTTCTAGCAACAAATTAAGATGTATCCGTGTTCAAAATTGTTCAATTCGTATTCATACCACCAATTGAGCCTGATTTAATATAAAAATCTTACTATTTTGGACAATAATCAATTTCAGAACCGATATGTAGTGTAAGTTATTGACATGGTCACCATTTGACGATTATTGGTAGTATTTAGGAGTGTGTAATGGATGATTGGAACCAAAAAACTTGTTTTAATTAATGGATACTAGTGCAAATATTATTAATATCGCATTTTAAGACATAAATTTTAGGAAATCGCCGTTAAATATCGAATATGTACGCTATACTATGTTAAAAACGGCAATGTTCCGCAATGGATTGTAATTATTGTAAAGAAACAATTAATTTAAAAGTTAAAATATCGTCTTCCAATGCATCATAATGAACAAACGAGGGATATTATTGAATACCCGATCCAAAACTCCGGGGGTTTAATGTTCTTAAATAGGAAAAAATGCTCCTATAAATAATATTCAGATCAATTACCAAAAATTTCAATTTTTCGGAACAAAAAGTGAATTTTTTCCATGTTATAGTGTACAGAATATTTTATTATAAAATAATTACATTCAAACAGGTAAAATTTTCATGAATTTTGTTAATATCATTAAGCCAAATACATATTGAAATTATCTGTATACTTACTTTTGTGGCGTAAATTTTGTACCTATTTAACTACACCTTAAATGAGAACTCAAGTAACCAAAATAACCCGGAAAAAAGTAGTGAATAATAATTATCATAATTGTTTTTAATAAATAAATATGTTACTTTTTTGATTTTTGAAAAAATAATATCCTTTTTTAAATAAAACCAATTGTCAGTATTTCTGTATACTTATTTTTGAGATTAACTGTACGTATATATGTATGTACATTTTTAAGTATGTATGTATAAAAAGAAATGAAAAATAAAATACATAAGAGTGATAGCGATTTTTTACTGTGTAGAATATTATAAACCCTCCTTGATCATATTTTTATTTGAACTAAAATATGTATGTATGTATGTATCATCCATTTACTGCAAAACTGGCATTACTCAAAATTTGTTTCTTTTGATATGTGTACTGAAAATTATGCGCCACATACAAAAATGTCTAGTATTTTCTATATTTTATTTAAAGTTAAATGAGAGCGACGTTTTGGCCCCTGATTTTTTAAATTTCATAATTTTTTAAAAATTTATTTAAGAAATAGGTGTCATAAAATATTAGAAATATAAGGAAGGACAAAGCTAAATCGGCTTCTTATCTATAACACTTCAGAATATACATATTTACATTTGTTATAGGAACACAGGAACACCCAACAGTTCGGTCAGACAGCCCCGAACTACCTATTTAACCTACCACTTAGGATTACCCCTATCCACCGGCTGACCAGGTGACTAGCTTTCTTAACATGTGCTTGTCCAACGATGCAGTAAAATGTCACCCCATAGATTATGAAGAGACAGACAAAAAGCTTAAGTTTGTTTTTTAAATGTTCACTCTCTCGCTTACAAAGGGGACACTAAAGTGACGATTATCTTCACCCTCGTTTACAAAGAGAACTTCCGTGACGAAAGACGAATTAGAGCCAACCAGGTGGATAGACGTTAGTGGAAAAAACTGTTTTTTTCGGATGCATTGAATCTTTATCGAACTGCTGGGAAAGTCAGACATATCAATACAAATGAATATTAGAGTGGCCCCCTGTGTATGGAGCTTTTTGTGCTCTACTGATGGTAAAGTTTATTTCATTCTAAGATACCATTTTTGAAAATTTTTGTACCGGGGCCAATATTTACCGAGCTGGGTCGAAGAATAAAAGGATAATTTTTCTATTTTTTTATATTACACGCAAGGGAATGATATGGTAATTTAGGTATCTTTAGATTAGTTCAGATTTAAAAACGGTTCATAATCCGGAGCAGTTCCCTGCCTCCAGGATTGTGACACTTTAATATTGGATATGCCATAACTATTATATGTTAAAAAAAAACAATTGCATTAGGTACTGCTGCTGTTGATCTACATTAACAATTGAACTACAAGCAAATGCTGAAGTGATAGTACTTACCATAAATATGCAACACAGAGCAATGGCCCAGAGGATTTTTGATTTAGCATTCTTCGTTGAATTAGTCTTGAGGTTGGAAGCAAATCCTTTTTGTTGACACAAGCAAACGCATTCAAAATCATACTGTTGCTGCTGTAGAAAAAAAAATTATTTTTATAAAATCATACAAAATCTAAATAAAATATTAATATTGTACATAAATAATAACTACATTTAGTACTAATTTTCTAGCTAGAATTATCATCAATTGAATAGGAATTGCTTTTCACAACACTGCACTATGGTTCAGACGATCACTTTCTTTGGTCAAAATTATTTTTTTTTTTGATGTCGCATTTTAACAAATTTTTCAATGAAGTATTGTAGGCCATACTTTGGAGCTATAGAAAATGAATTTTGTGTTCATCAACATTAAATTACTCTTTAATAACAAGCCACTAAGGTTGCTTCTTTAATAAAAAAAAAAAATAAAATGTAATTCCGAATACAGATTTTTCAGATTCTTTTTTCAATTTAAGCGAAAAAACAAATTAAAAAATTAATCTTGGATATGAAAGATAACAGGAAGTACTTTAATAATTAACGTAAAAAGCTGACCCAAATAGAATGTGAGGGTACGTAAAACATAGATGTATGGTATAACTTCATATAAGCTTTTAAAAAAAGTCCGACCTCTTCCTTGTATGAAACTTTAAGAATCTGTTTGTCGGAAATAGTAGGATTTTATTTCAACTGACATTTTTTTTTTGCAAAATTCTGTGATTTTTGGGCAAACTGACTTTTTGTTATTAAGGGGTATTTTCTTTAAATACTCCAAAATTTAGCAAATATTGTTAAATATTGGAGAATAAAAATTTTAAGTTGAATAGTAATTTATAACTATAATATTGCTCAATTTAATTAAAAACTCAAATTTATGTTTTCGATAAATTTGAAATATATCTAATATCCCATTCATTCGATCGAAACCAATTCTAAATTAAGTAATTTCCCATACATTTTATTAATTGGAAATCAAGTAATTTTGCTTAATTTCATTGAAATTAACTTGAAATCCCAATGAACCACCCAGTCTTAGTATAAAAAGTACCAAAACAAAAAAAAATAATAAAAATTTTAAAACCAGATATAAACAATAAATATAATTTAAATAAGTATAATTTTACGGAAAAGGACGGATTTTGCTTACAAGCCAAATCCGATTAAGTGTTAAAAACACCGGTCTGAACAGGTAAGATTTCATTTATAATTTCGAACCCAAATTACTTAATTTCGACTCAGTCTGAATGGGCTATAAAGGTTTAAGATAATTACTCCATATTTTAAATTTCTGTAAAAACTTAAATTTCTTAACTATGTAATGTTAGCATATTTTTCTGTCATTACACTTAAATTTTAAGCAAAATAGATCTAGAACACCATAAAAATATTTTGTGTATATGGACACATTTTAGGTCTGGCCAAAAGTCGACGAAAATTTTTATAAACGAAATAACAACTTTTCTATAAATTAATGAAAAAATATAGTAATGGAAGGTACCTGTGCACTTGTGCAATGTACATTAAGTGCTCAAAAAAAAAAACGAAGTTGCGAATTTTGCCCGACCCCCAAAAAAGTTTTATTTTTTCAACGGCCGTTTCAAATCTCCAATATCAGTTTTTCTGAATATTTGTTAAACAAATTTCAAAAATTTTAGGAGATCTCATGATGATTTATGGTCAATAGAAAAGGCTATTAATAGTAAAAAATAGATCAATAATTCTTATAGAATTTTTTGTTTTATTTCTGTTATTCCTTTGATTATATAGAACATTATTCAAATAGATAGTGTTTTTCGAATTTTTGAACTTTGGTGTTAAATTGTTCCCATGTGCCATAAAGAGTTAATCTACCTTTTTTACTCTATTTTAAATGTCGGACAATATACGATAAATTCCAGTCATTTTTGGTAAAGATGGCCTACTAATAAATATTATTTCGATAATTTGACCTTTGAACTCCACAGTTTATGGGTTAAGAATGTCCGATTTTAATAAAACTTCGGATATATATTTTGTATTATCTAGACTATAATACTCTGATAATACTTTATTTCAATTTTGCAACAGTAAAGAATTAATACGTATTCTCTAAAATATTACAAAAAAATGCGATTTTCTTGAAATCCGCCGAGTTCAAATTGCAGGCACAGCTAAACTGTTGCGCCACCTGTTAACGTTATCCAATCAGCCTAATTTTTTGTATGACATAGTTTTACAACCCATAGAACAATTCTAGAGGGGGGACGGCCTGTCAGACAACAATTTTTTCCTTCATACAAGCTTGAATCACTCGAATGTACATACATACTCATCAACATACCCAGCAGTTCGGTCGGACAGTCCCGAACTTCCTATTTAACCTACCACATAGGATTGCACCTAGCCATCAACTGTCCATGTGACTAGCTATTTTAACATGTGCTTGTCCTACGAGGAAGTCAATCGTCACCCCATACGTTACGAAGAGGCAGACAAGACAAGAAGTCTATTTTTTTTTTTAATTTTTAATGCACTCATAAAGATTTGCGGCCATTTCTATTTATTTTTTTTTTTGCAGTATGCAAAATTAGAAATTATTTTCATTAATATTAGACGCAAACCAAAATTTAGGATTTTTGGAAAGAAATTTATTAAAATTAGATTAAAAAAATATATTTTAGTTTAATAAAGGTGGTTGCGTAAATAAATTGTTTTGGTATTAAAAAAAAAAAAAAAAAAAACAAATTACGAATTAATTTACCATTTTAATTGGTGCAAAATTCCATTTCTCTCTTTTCTTTTGAAGATAATCACAATATTACTTTAAACAAAGTTTTTTACATTTTAGAAATTTGTTATATCGAGTACAAAATTTATTTATTCATTCGTATTGGAAAAAAATTAAAAATTTTTAATTGGGTGTTATTTCAGTATTCACCTGTAAGCTACTTATTATGAAAACCCATCTACATAAATATTTTTAGATACGTATTTAATAAATTATACATCCATGGAGCTAACTTTGATCGAGTCCATAACGATATGACAGCTATTATTAATTATGCACTGATCCAAAAATAATTTCAAAATAATTCCTATATAGACAAAATGCATTCATGTAAATTTTTATAGCGATATCTGCCTTTGTCAATGATATATGTCGAAGTTATTTTTATATATGGGCAATCTTGTGTCAAGTGGCCCAACTTTTAAAATCGATGTCGTCCGATGACCGTTAAACAATTTCCTTTAAGATGCAAGGAGCTTATGTAAAAAAAAATAAAAAAATACTTTTTGAATTAAAATATTTTTCTAAAGATATTCCACTCGCATCCGACTAAGTAATCACAAAGCTCTTGAAGGAAATGGTCTAAGCTTTCTTTTGAGCAAAAAAAATGTGCGTTTATAGACAAATATAAGTCGGTAGTATGATTTGTGTTCACATTATATACACATCTGCAAAATTTTGTGCTGCTACCGATATTTTTGACGAAGTTATTTACGATAAAAACATTTCCGAGAATATGTATCTTTGTATTGGGGACTATGGGGAATTTTGGATTGATTGTTTTAGAAATAACGTGTGCCATAATTCATCGAATTATCTACTCGAGAATTAGGAAAAAACCTAATTTTTTTCGAGGTAGTCTGAAATTTTTACTCATTTTCAATACCAAACTGCTTAGGACAATAATGAATATTTTCTGTGAATTTGGTTGATTTCCTTTGCTTAGTTTTAACGTGAGCGTGTTTTAGGCAGATAGACAGAGCTAAATCGACTCAGAATTTTATATGGACCCGGAATATACATATATACTTTGTTGGGTCTCAGATTAATCTTTGGTGTTACACACGAAGTGACAGACATATGATGGTTATGGAAGGCTTTTTAAGCCTTCCTTTTTAAGCCTTTAGAGATTGTACACATTCATTTCCCGTTGGTCTCATTCGGGAGAGATTCGGTGAGCCGTGATCGAATAAGCATTCGTATTGCAAACACATTTCGTTATCGAAATTAATTTAAACTACTAGATTAGTGCTGTAATATTCTACTACTTTTGATTACTCAATACTACTCAATACTTTTCGTTTGGGTACTCAATACTACTCGATACTTTTAACGGTTTTATTTTAAATTAAAAACGAGAAATTTTTCCTTTTTTTTAAGAAAAGTTAGACCAGACATCAATAAATATTTGTAACTTTTTAACTATTATTGCAGTTTTTAAATTATTTTTAGATTGATTTGATATTGCTAAGAGTTGCATTTCTAATAATGATATGATCTGTATTAGTTGTAGAGCTGTATTTTTTCACATCATAGCCGTTAAATTTAAATAAGTTAAATCCATATACAAGTTTGAAAGTATTGAGTAACTACTTTTTAGTATTGAGTACCCAAAAAATAGGGCAAATACTCGATACTCGATACCCACTACTCAATACTTTAACAGCACTATACTAGATTTCTTGTTCGATATCGAATGCCATCATGGAATATTACGATATATTTTACTTGGTCACGTAAGCGGTAAATCGGCCCCTATTCATTATGAAATTTTCCAGATTTGAAAATGTATTGCCAAACTTGGTAAAAACAACCAAAATATGTTTTTGGACGGAATAAGGATACTGGGCTTTCAAAAATGTTTATTCCATATTGTATTCACAGAAGTATTTTAATTGACATTTAAAGTTTCTCCTATATATTTTAGCGATTTATTTCTACATCCAACTGGCAGCCCTGCATACTATAACAATAAATTAAATTCTCTTAAATTTCTCTTTTTAGTAAGTATAGGTATAGAAATCTCTTAGTTATTTGTAGAGGAAGAAGAATAAACCTGTTCGGCAAATCTATATTACAGATTTTTTGTTTTGTTTACTTTTCTTAAAGAAAATGTTTTTCTTGCTTTTGTTGCTATTGATTGGTAAAATGAGTGATAATCTTAAATAAATAAAGCATTTTCCGGATTTTGTTTATCGAACGAAAAGTAGGTACCCGTACGAACTTGTATCTGATAAATATTTTTAGATACTGCAACTAATAAAACTAAATAATTTCATCACAAGTTTCTTTCCAACTGCAGTGTAAAAATTTTAATGCATTTTATTTTAAAGATAAAAATAGAAAAAAATATATAAAATAAAATAGAAAAAACAAAAACTATACTTACTTTATGGGCGAAGTTATTTCTTCTCTCTTCATTGTTGTTATTATTATAATTTTGTTGTAGCAATGGAATTTCCATTGTAAATTCGTCAGCAGCAGTAGCAGCGGAATCCAAAGGTGTCATTAAATTGTTAGTGTTTGTGAAAATTATTTTACCGGTAGTTGATGGCGTATTATTATTGTCGTTGCTGTCGATGTTGTTGTTGGTGTAAATAGTTTGTTTTTTATTGTCAATTATATTGTTGTTGTTGTTGTTGTACTGAATGAGATCTTCAACGTGATTATCATTGACTAATAATAAATCGCTGTGATCGTGACTATAATGATTATCCACAACAACATCATCATCATCGTCATCAGTGTCATAGAATATTTTCTGAAGATGATGTTTGTGTTGATGCCCTGAATTCTCGTGTCTTAATTGATCATGATCGGTTGAATGATGGTGATGATGATGTTGATGGTGGTGGCCGCCCTTCCTGTTAAAGAGGCCAAAATTTTCCTCATCGTCTGTAAGCGGTGATACTGTAGTAATTGTGCTGCTGGCGTTTGTCGTTGTTGAATCATCATTATGATTGTGGAAATCACTATTTTTCAAAATGTGATACTTTGACATGTTGCGTGCGTGTGTTGTTGTTGTAGCTGTAGTGTAGTTGCATGTAGATACAAGTGTTACTGTTATACTGTGTGAATGTAGTAATTTATGTGTTGTTGTTGTTATTGTTCTATTGTTGCTGTTGTTTTAGGACAGATAATTTCATTTTTTTGTGTTTATTAATTTATTTTAATTATTTAACGGGTTAAAAAAAACTACAATTTATTTGTACTTTTCTCATTATACTTAATATATTTAGTTTGTTATTGTTGTTATTATAATAATAATAATTTCAATTTTATTTTTTATTGTTTGCCATTCATGCATTCGGAATTTCGATAAACATTTATTTTGTTTTTGTTTGTTTTTTCGTTAATACAATAACACTATGTATAACAACAATGGATCTGTACGCGATAGTTATTTTAATCAGAACTTTAATTAGTGAATTTATGAAATATTATTTATGATGTAGTTAAAGAGTTGTTATTAATATTTATAAAATAATTAAATACTAGATTAAACTCTCTTATTTAAAATAACTAGTGAATTTATTTCAAAATTATTTTAATCAAATAATAACATTTTTGCACAATGATATGTACAAACTCAAAAACTAATTTCCCGCTGTTCTACCATTTCAAAAAGTGTAATATTAGACACATATGTACATATATACATACATAGATTAATGAGAATTGGCATAGCGATTTCTATTAAGGTTCTAAATAAGGTGCTAAGCGATAGATAATTTTTTTTAATTTATAAAATTTTTCAAATTAATTAAATGAATTTTATCGAAGAAATTAAAGTCAATATGTATGACGATACAATTTGTTATTAGTTTTTATTAGTAGTATGATTAAAATCTTAATAATTACACATACATTTACATACATACATACATATGTACTATATTATAGTACATATTATAAAGATTAAAATTCACGTTTAAACGTAAAAGCATTTCTGTGGTCACACGGAAAAAACACATAAGTTGTTTTTTATTAACTTTTCATGATAATATTTAAGTTTTAGTTGTTAATGAAAAACAAAGTACAGAGGTATATTTTATTTACAAAATGCGATATTTTTTAAGCACTGGACAGATTAAAAAAATATTAATATTTAAATTCTTAATCGATATAAAATTTATCCAAAGTATATAAATAATAAAAATTTCAATATTTAAAATCTCTATGAGATTCTTTTTTTTTGGAAAAATTTAAGAAAATACAGCAAGTTTTGTGCACTCTTATTATTTTTTCTCACACTATAATGCATATTTGAATTACATTCATACATACATACATGTGCACATAAGTAAACTATGTTGTAGTTTGCAACTCAATGTTTAGTTGATTAAAATTTATGACGTTTTCAATTAACACCTTATCATTGATACTAATCAAAGTACATAAGTATTTACTATGTTTATGTATTTGTATGTATATAATTCTATTTACTTTTCAATGTGTTTTTATGCTTATGAGTTAATTATTTATTCACTTTGTAGTTGTTATGTTGTGGTTGATATCTTTTTGCTTTATGCAATTATTTATAAATTCAATTAATTACTATTTTTATTTTTGTTTAATTAATTCTACTTTATTTGTGTTATTTTTAATTATTTATTATTTGTACACATTTGGTCACACGATTACGCGATCACACCTTAACGCTTCGACATTTTAGACTGAATGAATGAAAATAAATCCTAAATGAAAAAAGTACATATTTCAAATTGCTTTCTTTCTAAACAACGATCGCCTGTCAGCAGAGCTGCCAGATTATATTTTGCAAGAAAACCGTTAAGGGAGAAAATTTTGTTTAATTATTTTTTTATTTATCGTTTTATGCAAAATTTAATATACATTTCATTTCAATAGCTGATTTTTTTGTTCATGAAAATTTGATAAATTTGTAGGCATTAATAAGATATATACATATCGTCGCCTGAAATGCAAAAGGGCCTAACAACACTTTTCAAAATTTTACAGGAGAGACAAAAAAACTAAATAAAATTAAAACTATTGTTGATAAAAAATTCCTCTTTCTTCCATGTATTATATACTAACATCAATAAAAATGTTTAAATATAAATAAGACTACAGGTTGGTACGCCTTTTTGCATTTCAGGTGACGATAATTTTTTTTGTATTTTTGAACACTCACGATCATTTAAATAAAAGTTTCGATTATACCGAAATTTTCGCCGACTTTTTTTTTTAATTTATTTATATGGCAGCACTACATACAACAACGATTATTTACTAAAGAGTACCTTATCCAAAACTCTCTTTGATCAAACAATATAATGCTCTCGTTGGGTATTGGGTGATAAAGTGGCTCTTAAACTGAAAAAATATAATTTATATCTACAATAACAAATGTAATGAAGAAAATGTTTGTGTTTTTTTTCGTTTTTATTTATTTATTATTATGAATTCGTAACAAGTGTGTATGGCAGAGATGGGAAATGCATTTTCCAACCAGTACTGAGTTTTACGAAAATATTTCTTTATTGATTTTGAACAATATTCCAATTCCAATTGATAATGTCTCATTAGGGAATAAATTTCCAATAAATTTCTACATATGTATGTATTACATCTACCATGAAACTTGGAATTTTTTCTGAGCTTCATAGAATTTTAGTTTTCTAATTGTCATAGTTGTTATAATGTAGAGTATATTGTCTATTTGTAATCGAAGTGATGTGTGGTTCCTGTCCTTAAAGACTCAACTGACTTCCTCCTTTAACAAGTCCACTTTAAAACAACTAGCTAATTCTGGTTTGGATACCATCCGAAATGGTAGATAAAATCACAAGCTTCACAGCCACACCGTACTGCAGAGAGTGTGTATAGTTCAAATTGAATCAACCAATACTTATGCGTACAATATAATTGGTATACATCCCTGGTGTATATTTTGTACAAAAACCTAAAAGAAGATAAGTACATATTAGTGGTTAGAGCAGTTTACTACTAGTGGTGCACTAAATAAACGTACAAATTCATAAAAATAAAAAATAAGAATGTTACGGTAAGATATTTTATCTCATATATGCCTAGTGAACATTTTCTTTTCAATACATTTAGGGCCGGTTTTATAGTTTTATATTTATACACTAAGGTAAACAATTTTACTTAAGTTTGAAAATGTCATACAAATTTCAAAATTTTCAGAGACGGGTCTTAAATTAGGGTACCTTCGATATATAAAATTTTTAAACAAGTGTAATTTTTTTATTTCCCAAAACGTGAAAATTTTTTGAAAGGCTGAACTTTAGTTGTCTTACTATAATTTTAAGAAATTAGCCAAATTTTCTTTAATATTTAAATGAATCTTGTATTTAATATTTTTTTTATATTCGCGATTTTTCATGAGTTTGAATACACTAATCTCATATTTTCAATTTGCGAGCGAATATTTCACAGCCGTTTTCCAAGGAGAAATGTTCACTGTGTTTGGTGTTATGTAGTTATTTATGTTTGTAACTATGTATGAGCTATGAATCCAAGTACGCATACATTTCACAGTTTACTGCGTTTAGTGGTAAACGGCCGGCTACATTGAAATTTTATAATTTTAATTCATGTATATTTTGCGACATTTCTAATTGCGTTTAATTATGTATATATGTACATATTATTCATTTGTTTGTATGTAGTTCGGTTTAATTAAGTGATAATTTAAAATTTTTAAATTATTGTATATATGTTCATTAGGGTGACAGTTTTTATGGAAAAAAAGGTGTTGATGTTCCCAAAATGAAAGCGTGGTTTATTCTAACATTTTATTTCATTTCTTAAAATTTGTATAATAAGTATCAATTTTTAGTATAAGACATTTCTGATCGATGGTTAATATGTGTTGAAAACCCTCATGGTGCTCTTAAAAGCAGATATACCGACTGACAATTTAATATTACGGTTAACCAAACTAGAGTTTATTTCGCGTTTAATGATTAGTAATTTTTAATAACTGTATTTTGACTTCGATTCCAATCAATTTTCAAACAATAAATAAATTTTCTCTTATTATTCCCTTATAGTATACATAGCATAGTTCAAACATATTTGTAAACTATTTTAAATCATTTGTATAAATATTATTAAAGGCCTAACTATAATATGCTTAAACAAACTGAAGTCAGCTTAAGCAACTGTGCGAACACATATAAAATGTATGTGACAAACTATAATGTACTTAAGAGAGTTTCGTCAAGTTTCGTCAAATTTTATTTGCTTAAGCAAAGAGCGATACTGACAGCACATTACGTACGGAATCAATTGTTTGTTTATTATACACAAAGAAAATAAAGAAAAAAATGGAAAGCTAAAAGAAAATTAATTTATTTCAATAAAATATTTTGAAATATGTATTTTTTTTATTACGTGTGTCACATAAATGTGTAAATGGAGCTAAATTGTTTTGAATACACGTAAGTACATTATAGCCACCTAAAAGTTTCCTCGGATTTTCTTAAACATTTGAGAGACTTTTCGTTCGATTGTTACATTACCTTAAGCAAGCTTATGCACATTATAGTTGGGCCTTAAAACTTCAAACAATTGCACGATTATCTGTTAAAAAAAATAATAAATACAAAGTTGTCGTCATTGGCAATGGCCACAGCTATAGGAATTTCTACGAGGAAATTACTTTAAAATCGATAACGAATATATTAATGCTTTTTTAATGATAACAGAGACGTGAGTCCAAAAAAGTTTTTAAAACAACAACAACAAAACAAGTGTTTTCATACAAAACAAACAAAAGTTACGTGGACTGATTAAGGCGAAATGTTTTATGATCCAGAGTAAACAAATAAATAAAAAATATTTACTTGAGTTTATATATTAAATTTTGATCTACAAATGATATTCAAAAGAATTCTATTCACCACGTTTTTAACAATGTTAAAAGAAATTCTTAAATTAGTAATTATTGTTTCTGTGTATTGAAAACTCGTAGAGGCCGAAAAAGGGGCAGTATCGGCCAACGTTTCCACCTAGCCTCCTTGTCAGTCATAACAGTACAGCGATAAAATTCTAATACGAGTGTATTAAACATAATTATGAGTTAAAATGCTCAAATCGGAGGGTCCGGTTGTATTGGGACTAGGTGAAATAATGCACCGCTTTCAACTAAAGTCGGGTTCGACCTTGGGAGTTGTCTTTAAAATTACGATCTGTACTTTGATAACAAAGTTTACATGAAAGGACGAAAGACCGACGGACGGACATTGCTTAATCGGCTCAGAAAATTATTCTAAGCCGATTGGTATACTTTAAGGTGGTTGTAAACCAATATGTTTGTGCATTACAAACATCAGCACTACATAGGAACATTAGAGTGATTCAAGCTTGTATGAAGGAAAAAAAATGTGTCCCCCCTCTAGAATTGTTCTATGGGTTGTAAAACTATGCCATATAAAAAATTAGGCTGATAGGATAACGTTAACAGGTGCCGCAACGGCTCTGAAGTTTTCAAGTGCATTTACAAGGGGAAAATATCGATTTTTCTCAGTTTTTGCTCAAATTTGGCCATTTAGTAATAAATTTTGAACTTTATTGTAAAGGAATCGTAATGTGCACAGAGTAAGGGAAGATATAAAACACAAAAATTGCTTGAAAACTTTAAAAGTTATTGCAAATTCCCCAGGCCATTAACGTGTCTCACAGCACATAAATTCGAAATGTGACAAAAAATTTCCTTTTTTTTGGGATATATTCTAAAAAAAACATTTTGTTACTTAAAATATATCTATTATTACTCGAATATTAGTTTTTTCTCTTATAAGATAAACCTCGTTCTCAGCTATGGTCAAAAAAGTTTGATTTTTTCAATGGCCGTTTCAAATTTCCAATTTCAGTTTTTTTTGGAACTTTGTTAAACAAATTTCAAAATTTTTAGCAGATCTCATAAAGATTTATGGTCGATAGATAAGGCGATTAAACGCTAAAAAATTAGATCAATATTTCTTTCAGTTTAGCTGTACCTGCGATTTCAACTCGGCGGATTTCGGCAAAATCGCATTTTTTTCGTATTATTTTAGAGAATATGTATTAATTTAGAGAATTAATATTAATTGAGCAAAAAAAAAAAACAAAAATAAGTGAAAATTAAGTTCCAAATATTGAAAAAAAATCTTATTCTTAAGTTAAAAAATATTTTTTTTTATAGATATCCCCCTCGCATCCCATTATGGGACTATAATGCCCTTAAAGTAAATTATCAAAGCTTTCGTTTGGGCAAATTTGGAGTTAAAAAAAAATATTTAAAAAAATGTTTTTTTTTTTTAAATTTTAAAAAAGTTAAAAACATTTTTTGGAAACATTGAAGAAATATCTATCTAAACTAATTTGGACAATTTTTGCTAGGACCAATAGGTGAAAAGTTACACGCATTTGAATAAAACCCTGTATGACCCAAATTTCCAACTTTGACCCCCTCTAAGTCCGACAGTTCTGGACCGATAACGCTGAAAATTTGTGTCTGGCCTACTATCCATTAGTAGTAGCCTTGATTTTGATTTTTTGAGTTGGGTCACTTGA